GAGGCGAAGGTGAATGGCAAAGTAGCGACGAGCGAAGTTACCTGTGGCACGAGCCGAACTAGAGGCAACGCGGCGGAGTCTTGGGAACGAGGTAGAGAATATGAATGGTAGGTAAGAGAGTCGGCATGAGGCTGGAGGCTTACGTTTTCTGCTGTCGATGACTGCATTAGGTTATTTTCGTACTCTCTACTCGATTGCCGTGCGAGCGGCCCACCCGCCCTCCCACTAACAGCCAAATGGCTGATCGGAATTGTCTTTGAAGGGTTTGGGTACCGCGGGAGTGTGGTCGCAGACGCAATGGCCTTCCCCACAATAAGTTAGTAGTGAGTACGGATCACGCGATGACGTTTAAGCAATACACTCGCTAAGAAATACTTAGCTAGTACATGCTCCCGACCATGTATTAAATTGTCGACCTCGCATATACTCTTCACATTTGTGTGAGCTGAATAGCCAAATATTTGGTGCGTTGACCAGTGCAGTCGCGGCGCTCGGAAGCGACAGACGCCTGCTACGCAAAATCGGCGAGTGCTATTTCCTCGTCAATGTCCTTCCAAGGAACTCCTGCTGAGTACCTTGGAACTCATATGAATGACGAGGCTCGCTTGAGATAGCTTCAAGTGCAGCGTGGCCTTGTCAATCTCGAGTCGGGTCACCACCCCGCTTTCCCGGAATATCATCACGAGTTACATCATTCGCAAATGTCGTATGGAGGCCTTAACCAGGTCGCGTCCCAGCACAACTCTGCGCGCTTGCCGACGGTGCCCATGGGAACATTGTCTAGGGGAGTCAAGGAATGCGAGCGAAAACGTGCTGGGCAATAGTAGTAATGTGCTCGAGGGCTAACGTAGCTTAAAAGTGAGCAATTTCTTACAATCCGTACGTCTGATAAAAGTTGTGTAAAGTGGGCCCAATGGCAAGTGAAATTAAGGAAATTTCTTAAGTTCTCCATAGAACTTAAGGAACTTTCCCAGCCGCTGGCCAATGGAAAGACCCTCTCAATGGAGGCAGCCAAACTTGTTTGTGCTCATACGATTTTTGTTGGCTACAGGCGAGACCCCTTGCAATAGAATGCAATATATTACCAATAACGCGTTTCAGCCGGGCGAGATACCGTAGTGCTACTTATAGTTCGTGATCGCTTTGTTCGGGGAGGGGTCAAAAAACTTTCTGAAATTTGTACGTGCTCTTTGAATTTCGGGGAAGGCCGGACCAGATTTTGCGGGCATGATACAAATTTCGGTTGCCTGTCTTGCACGTTTTCCAGCGTTGTTCATGTCCTACGTTTATGACTATATTTTATGTATTAAGAGCTGATTTCCGCCTTGAAATCCTAGTTTTTGCGAAGTTTGATCGACCGGCTTCGGAGGGTACGATATTTCGGGGCTGCGGTCCCTTGGGATACCTTAGGATTTGTACGTGCTACATATTCGTGGTGCCTCCCGAATTATTGTAGCACGAACTATAAGTAGCACTACGGTATTATGTTTGGTCCGTTACACACACACGGCCACACGGCCACACGCGCGCGTGTCCGTACGGACATGGGCAATCCTACAGGACGGGGACCCCTGGGCGCTTCGCGCTGGGGCCCCGCCCAAAAAAAGAGACTAACTTGGCAGGATTCGGCATCACACGGGTGATGAGAAGGATGAAGGTGTCCCCACACATTTGGGGCCACATAGGGACTGCCAGGCTGATGGCCACGGGTAAAGCTGAACCCTCCTAATTCGTACATGTACAAGCAGCAAAGAGGAACCCAGCAAGGCAGTCCATGCACTCCATATAGTGACATGCGCGTACGTATGCATACACATGCAATGCCAATACGTAAGTCTGTTTTTTGGCGGGTTAGTGCCAGGTAGGGTTTGCCATCAGCAAGGTGGGACAATCCATCAATACTAACATATGTACCTAGATTGCTGCCCCAAGTCAAGTTGTTATTAGCAGCTGTTTGCCTGCAGGAAAGGCCCCGCCAGCCGCTACGGCGTGCAGCAGCAGCAGCTGCAGCAGCAGCAGCCTGACGGAATAATACGCGTATTCATCACGCACATCCAGCGGACGTAACGTTGTTTGGAGAAACAAACAATAATCGTCTTATAAATATATTATTATTACTAGAATTTCAAGCGGCTTACAAGAGGAATTCAGTAATATATCCCAACTTGGCGCAGTAGGAGTAGGTGGTTCCGTACGTGTCGTACTTCCACTCGCTTTTGCAAGGGCAAGCACCCCTCTCCGTGACCTGCTTGTCGTGATTAATGTGTTCGTTGCATCAAAGAAGCAAGCAGCGGCAGCCAAATGGCGTATCATCAGGAAACGGAGCCCGTAATTAACAAATAGAGCATATGTGTGTGTGTTGGCATCACATTACAAAGATAGCGCACGATTGCATATATATATGGCCATTGCAACCAGCAGAAGCGAAGACGGACATCAATACTACACGCAACTGAGACGTACAAAACGCTATTAGCATGCATCCTTTATTTCATGCTCTTTCGGCATCTATTTTTATACACCCCTGTAAAGTTTTCTATTTATGGTTTGTAAGCCGCACCATGGTACGATAGGTAGAGAAGCAAGGTACAAATCTGTCCTATCTATTATACATATACCAGCAGGGCGGGTACGACCTATAAAAACCATTATTTCTATAGGCTAGCCATTAGCATTATTCTACACACGTACATCTCTCCTAATTTTGGCCAGGTGGTGGAAACAAAACATACTCCTGCATGTGCTGCGATGGATGCATGCTCACGCACTTACCCGGCAGACATCGACCGAGGGGGTTGACGACAGCGGAGGAGGGGGGGCCGCGGCGTTCTGCGCATAGTACTGGCCCCAAGCGTACAACACGGGGTTCAGCTCCGCCGTCACGTAATGCGCCCGCTGCACCTGCGCTGGCGTGAAATGGCCCAAAGCTGCGAAGCAGACGGGGGTGTTGTACGTCATGTAGTTGCCCAGCTCGTCGTACCCGGGTTTACCGGGACAGCTGTCTGCCCAGGCGTTTTTGTCAGTATCTGGGATACCCAGCGTGCTGCTCCAACGAACGTATGTCGCATCCCAGTCGCCGCCGTACTTGCCCCAGAAGAGCTCCACACAGTACGACACAGCAGCAGGGTAAAGAAACATGCTTGAGGTTGCGAGGCCTGAAGGAGCGTACCGCAGAACCGGGTTGCAATAATATGCGTGTGGAAAACGGGAACATGCATCGATGCCATGCGAACGAGTCCAGCCGTAGAATCCATACATACATAATTCCAGGACCGGCGTGGGCTACCTCCGCCGCCATCACGTCCTTCCTTGATGGCCACTGAAAAGGCCTTTCAAGATGCTGGCGGCGCGCCTAGTGCGTATTGATAGACGAATAATATAGAATGCCGTGCTATCTAACAGCTGCTACATCTTTCGTTTTCATTTTTGTTCGCGTCTTCAAAGTTAAATCCTCGGCGAAGGCATTATTAAGCAAGCTAGACGTGTTCGATTACACATGCATGCCATGTTAAAATGGCCCACTGCCCACTCCACTCCATTGCCCACTGCACCTATATGGGGGGTATGCCATAGTGGACGCGTATGTGTATCCGTGGAAGCTTTGCATGGCTTTGGAGGCAAGCTTGCTTCTTCGGACACGCTTAAGTAAATTGTAGTAGTAGCTGGCCGCTGAAAAGGCCTCTCAAGATGCTGGCGGAACGCCTTGTAGATGATACGTGTACCGTACTTGTACAGCTGCTACAGTCAGCCTGGATTACAAGCCTGTATTGTAAGCATCTCCCAAAGCTCCCCCAAGTAGCAGAGTACCCTTATTCCGGGGTTAGGCTACCTAACCGCCGTCGTGCTTCGGACAGGCCCGTGTTACCCTCTCCCTTACATCCAACCCGTAACCGGTCACCATAGGGCCCTACACTGGGGAGTTTACTGAACCCCCTCCCTCCCTCCATACGAAGGCGGTTCAGTAGTTTCTACCCTCTCCTGACTAACCCCCCGGGAAGTGTGTCACGGGGGCTTTACCCCTCCTCCCTCTAGTGTCTTAGTATAGTAGCTGGCCGCTGCTGAAAAGGCCTCCTGAGATGCTGGTCAAGCGTTTTGCGCCTATTTGCAGTTGTTATGTGAGCCGTACTGTGTACCAGCTACTACACTTAGGGCTTCCTACGTCTTTTCAGATTGTTATTATCACCTCTTCGTCGTACCTGGTAGCTTAGATATTATCCGTCTCTATCAATATATTGTACTAGTGCACAATCGATAGACGATACATAATCCTGGAAAAGCCCCCCGCCTACCTGAGACTGGAGTGTCAATGACGTAGTCATCGTATTGATAACAGTCGGTGGAAAAGCTCCCGTAATCGAGGGGGGCGAATGTATGTTTTAGACCCAGATGATGGAACAGCTCGTGGAGGAGGGTGTTGGACCCATCATGATACATAGTCGGCGAATTGGAGCTGTCCATGGAAAGGCTGTCCCAGGACACGAACACGTAGCCTCTGCCAAGGTCAACGTCCGAGCTGTGTATGCATGGCAGCAGTATGAGCAGTAAGCATACATACAGCATGAATATACGGATGTGGACGAGCTTGCAAGTGAGGATGTATACGTATACGGGGCCAGCAGTATGCACGCCAGCAGTGCGTTGCAAGAGTGCCCGCCATCGTCAGAGGGCAGCAGGCAGCGCAAAAATGGAAGAAGGAAAAGATTCCTCAGAACCAAGGCCTGGTGTTTGCTAAAGAAAGGGGCGGGCAAATATAGGATTGGCTTAGCCAACAGGATTAAGCTATTGCAGCTATACATCCGCGGGGGGGGCAGGCAGGACAGCAGATAGTGGATGCATGCGGTAGGCGATGGAAAGCCATGCATGTGCCGTGTTGCTCTGACGCGCTGGCCAGGGCAGGGCCGAGGCGGCTGGATGGCCGTCGACTTATGTGCAATGCCGTGCAGTATGCAGATATTTTGTTTACGGTGCAGTGCGGTGCTGCATGTAATGTTGCATTCCCCGATTCAGAAATGCACATGCGGTGTTGCGCAAAAAGCGATTTGTGCCTGGATCCGGATCCCCTGCTACCTGCAGTCGGTTTTGCTATACGCTAGCATGCTAGCTAGCTAGCTAGCTAGCTAGCTAGCTAGCTAGAAGTACATGTATATCAGCTAAACCTGATAAGTAGCTGCGGCGGCCCCCGGCCTCTTTTGATTCACTGCGCAAGGGAGTTACCAAGAGGCTTCTTTACAGCGCAAGAGATTGACGATGCGACACGCACCCGCCAGCAAATGCAAAACCCAAAAAACCCGAATACGTCGCGTCCCCCGCAATGAAGATATTCACGCTCCGCGGGTAGTCCCAGACGCTCCTGCACGTAACAGGGAAGCGGGGCCTCGTCAGATGCCTTACCACGCATACGCAAATATACTTGGAAAAGCAAGTCGTGGGTAATCAAGGAAGCTGGCAGTACCTGCTGCATATGGTGCGATATAATAAGGTTATTGCTCAAACGAGCCGCGCGGTGTACTCGATTACAGAAAAAAAAAACATGAAGTGCCCTCATGGCACCAGATGGCTACATCGGGCTTTCTTATCGCCATGACGCACGAGCCTGCTGTCACTAAGACGGTCTTAGTATAGATGCATCAGGTCACAGCAGTACGTGCAATAATGTGGTGGGTACAGCGAATGCAGGGGAATCGTTTCTTTCAGATGTGGCACAACCTTATAATGTAACCGTGCATATGTTGTACTCTGTAAGGCATATCACGGGATCTGCATCCGCCGATGGGTACTTTTCCCTACAAACACGGAGGGGGGTTAAGAACGTTCTTAACTCGTTCTTAGCCCAGCCAAATTGATAAAATTGAATAACCATTAGAATGTTCTTACACCGTTCTAAGAACGTTCTAAGAACGTTCGTAAGGCATCCGTTTATCTTAAAACCATTCTTTGAAATTCTTTAGCATTCTTTGGGGCCCAGCAGTCTTAGGTATTCTCTTCCATTCTTTGGGGTGTTCTTATTCGTTCTTAGACCAACTTAGTGTTAAAGCATACTTAGCTGCTCTTTGGCCGGTTTTAACCATTCTTATCATAGGGTTGCTAAGTATGGCACTCGTTCTTAAGTCTCATTCTTAAGAAATAAAACCACTCTTTACCATTCTTTAGCATTCTTTAGGGCCAGCAGTCTTATGTATTCTTTTCGTTCTTTGGGGTGTTCTTATACATTCTTAGGCCAACTTATTCATTCTTTGCCTAAAGCATACTTAGCTGCTCTTTGGCCGGTTTTAACCGTTCTTACCATAGGTTCGCTAAGTATGGCACTCATTCTTAAGTCATATTCTCAGGAAATTCTTTTTGCTGCTTACATTCTTAAGCCTTAAAAAATGTGGGATTCTTAAGGGTCATGATGAAAATTCANACACACGTTTCGACCTCTGCATTCTCACATGCACCTCTATTGGTAGGCGCCCTTTATTAGGGTATCCACATGTAAGTTATTCTTACATTGAATCCATTTCGCGTATTGT